TGGCCAGATTTGCAGGCCTTAAATCCAAGCAGAAAGCAGTTTATCCCTGTAACACATTTTACTATGGTACCTAGGGACATATATAGCCCATGGTGGTCATTTCTGCAGTTCACAGGGTTCACAGCTAGGAAGAATATTGAGGAGGTCTTCCTCTCAGCAGCCTGCATAGTACCTTCTAGTACTGTAAATGCTAGCTAGCAGAAAGGAAGCTTCCAGGCCGCTTCCCATCTCACTACAAGTGTTCTGTGATTTCTCTTCCAGGATACCTCATCAGGCCTTTCTCTGGGCCCAGGGGGATCAAACTCAGGTTGTCAGGCTTGTATGGCAAGCATGTTCACTTGATGAGTCATCTCCTGAGTCCAACCATAAGTCTTGTTATTTAAAAATTATTCAGTTTAGTTTTCCCTGCCTTGCTCTACGCTGCCCAATCAGGCCAAGCCAGTTTCCTTTATTAACCAATGTTATTCACAGCATACAGAGGGGAATTCCACATCAAGTAGTTTGGCTACATCATTTTCACCCCTACCTCTCCACCTCCAATTCCTCTCATGTCCACTTCACTCTCACTCAAGTTTATGACCACTTACTATTTTTAGTTGTATTGTTTTTTTTCAAAGTAAACTGTCTTTTTTCACTTAGATACCAATCCCAATTCCCAATCCGTCTCGTTCTTCCATTCCCTTCACCTTACCACCTACTGCACACCCACCCCCCCAATTCTCAGAGGATCCAGCGCACATTGTTTTTGGGAACGTCCAAGAGCATTCTCACTTTATCTAGCCTGAGGAAGGTATCCGTCCAAAGAGAACGGGTTCCCAAAAAGCCAGTACCAGCAGTAGGGATAAATTCTGGTGCCACTGTCAGGGCCCTTTTGTCTTCCTCAGCCATACAGCTGTGTCCCACATTCAGAGGGTCTAATTTGGTAGTAATCTGGTTCCTTCCCTGTCTGGCTGGAGTTGGTGAGGTCCCAGTATCTGAGGTAAACTATTTCAGTGGGTGTCCCCATCGTGGTCTTGACCTCCTTGCTCATATTTCACTTTGCCCTTTGTATGCTTTAAAGATTTGTCTATTTCTGTCCTTTGCTTACATCTCATGTAGGTTATGTATTGTTGAATGATACCTTTTTTTGTTTTGAGATACTGTCCCCCTAGTTAACCCAGAATGGTATGGAAGTTCTGATCCCCCTCCCTCACCTTCTTGAGTAGCCTAATGTGATTCCTTATGAGAAGCAAGAGGACAGGCAGTGTAAAGGGGGATCCAGGTGGTAATCAAGATTGAGGTTAAGTGTGCAAACAACCTTAATGAAAAGGTAAGGGAAATAAGGCATTCATGAGACTCCTGTCTGAGAGCATGGGACATAAAATCCCAGGCCGAAAGTGAAAGAATGAAGGCCATGAGGAAGACAATTAATGATGCGACAGAATGGATGGAGTGTAGTGATTGTTGAAGATGCAGGACTGTCTGGGCCTGAAAATGGATTGTGAGGAGAGAAGATAAACAGAAAAACTCATGATCAGGTTGAACATCTGTGAGACTGTGAAGAGCTTCGTATATGTGGTGATGGAGGAAGGTCATTGGTTAAATAAAAAGAAACTGCTTGGCCCTCATTGGTTAGAAGATAGGTGGGAGGAGTAAACAACAGAACGCTGGGAGGAAGAGGAAGTGAGCTCAGACTCCACAGCTCTCCTCTCGGGAGCAGACGCCTCAGAGAGACGCCATGCTCCCAGCTCCCAGGCAGATGCATGCGATGAAGCTCCGAACCAGGAAGGACATAGGCTAGAATCTTCCCGGTAAGCACACCTAGGGGCACTATACAGATGATTAGAAATGGGCTAAATTAATATGTGAGAATTAGCCTAGAAGAGGCTAGATAGAAATGGGCCAAGCAGTGATTAAATGAATACAGTTTGTGTGTTGTTAATTCGGGCATAAGCTAGCCAGGCAGGCGGGGTGCTGGGGACGCAGCCCCGCCGCTCCTATTACTACAAATTTAACCAATGACCTTACTCCATCAATGTGGGACTCTGTGAAGGGTACTATATAAGAAGGCCTAGGTGAAAATTGAGAAAGCATAGGGAAACGAGGAAGTGAAAGCTTAGTCCAACAGTGAGCACAATAGAGAGAAAAGTCCCAGTCACTGAAGATGTAGTTTTCTAAGGACAGAGTAAGTAACCTGGAGATGGGGGACCCAGGTGCTACTCTGACCCCCACTCCTGACCCTAAAGCCATGCAGCATAACTCATACCTGCCTTACCCCGCTGCTTTTCTGACTCCACATGTAGCAGTGGGCATGAGACTGGAGCTCCCCGGGGGAAAGAATTTGCCTTCAGAAGGCCTATAGGCCACTCGTACAACTTCTACAACCACTGCTTCTCTACCCAAAGCAGGGATAAAAAGCGTTTCTGCCTCTTCCATGCCTCAAATGTCACAGAGCACTGCCTTCTTGTGAGTGTCATGTCTGGCAAGGTAAGGGTCAGGCCTATTCCACATTGCTAACCTTGGTCCTTCCATCCTTCACTTTAGGGAACAGCATGGGCTCTTGCCTGCTGTGATCGCCTCAAAGAAAGAGCAGAGGACAAGGCTGAAGAGGCACCTGGATCAAGGACTGATAAAGAATATGGCTGTTGCTCCTAAATTCTACAAGCATGGCAAGAAGCTGGCTGGTGTAGCAGAAAGCCGCAGTGAGTGTCTTTGGTTAGGGAAGGAACCTGAATTTAGGTGGAGGGAACATGAGTAATTCTGTCAGCATCCCTGTCTTGAGATTGCAGTGGGACTGTTGGTAATTGCTCATCAAACCAATGTTAGGAATTAAATGCTTTGGAGAAATGTCCACATCCCTTGCTTATATTTTCTATAGGTAGACATTTGTTGCTGAGTGGTAAGTTTGTTACTTTTATCACTGTCTTGCTACTTAGCCCTGAGTGTTCTCCTGCCCCTATTGAATCAGGCTCCACAGTGGCCATTCACTAGAAAAAGAAAGCAACCCAAGAGTTGGGAAAGAGGCATAGTGTGGTAAACCCTCCAAATGGGGCCGGAATATTTGGAAGGATGGTGTCAGTGAGGCTTATGTAAGCTGTGCCTGGTGTTTTACAGATGGGCAGGAGAGCACTGTGCACAAGAGGGAGGCCAGGTCCCACAAAGTTCCACAGGAGGTAAGGAGATTCTGGTGCTTATGGGAGGTGATTCCAGAAGCTCCTCCCCTGACCCTTTGTACTGTGTCCTAAAGTCTTGGGTTCCATCCCCACATCGGCCGTGATTTACCATGTGAGCTCAGGTTTAACTGCATCTTCCTGGATTTTAGTGTGAACTGAAAATTAAAATTAAAGGTAAGCCTCAATGATCTTCAAGGGCTTCAAGTTCTGACATTCTGAGTTGCTGTAGTCATCTGACAACATGTTCATCTCTCCTCTTTTCATGGTAGGCTGGGTACCCAAATTCCTACTATTGTCTCTACTCTGGCAGGGAAGTTCTCAGGGAACTCATATGCCTAGCCAGCAGAGAGAATGGGCAATTCTGCCCCATGTTCCAGTGAAATTGGAGCAGCAACCAGCGATTTCTTTTTCCTGGGCACCTCGTGATCCATCTGTCAGGCCCAAAAGGTGAGTTGAATATGGCCCTAAAGCCAGCTGTATCCATATTACTCCATGTTAAGCACTGTGGTTGGTGCCATGGGAGATTGGCAAATGAGAAAGGAGAAAGAGGAGAAGGAAGAAGAAATGTAATAGGAGAAGAGGAAGTGTGGAGGAGGAGGAGGCATCACCTCAGAAGGAGGAGTGAAGAGAAGGCATTTCGCCTTGAGAATTCCTAATCTTGAGGGTTCCAATAAGTGATTTCATCTTTCCAAGTCTATGTTTTCTGGTAGCCACTCCGGGACAACAGGCTACGTTCATGACATTGACAAGAGAAGTAGAAGAAGGTGTACCACATAGGAAGCCCTGAATGAGCCTGGGCTGTTGCTCCATATCACAACAGATGGATGTGAGAGAAGATTCGGTTGGAATTTGGGGTCATGATGGGGAATGCTATAGAGGCCTAAAGGAATGCTAAAGTCAATAGAGAAGACTTCCTAGAGAAAGGCCTGGCTTGTCCTTCATTGTGGGTTTCCCCTCTCATTAGCATCTCAGTAGGGGAGAGGGGAGAAAGACAGAGTCACAGAGCTTCCTGGGAAACAGACCTCCTCCACAGACCAGCATCAAGGTGCAGATCTGGTTCAATGTGTATGTTCACTGGCATATATGCATACATTACCCAATCAGCTAAGGTCACATTGAGTTACTGTCCAATGAGTTCAAATGCCTTGCACCCCACGTCTTGTGTGGGTATATAGGGGCAGTATGTCCTGGCAGTGTGTCTGCAGACAAAGGGCAGGAACCAGGCATCTCCCTGGGCTTTGATGCCAAATTAGAGAGTCTGCAGTTAGCTGGGACTCCATTATGAGTCGTCTAGCATTCCAGAGACACAGATCTGCTCATACAGTTAAGGGGGGGGGCATTAGCAGTTGTCACGGTCCCTGTCTGTTACTGACACCATTTGAACAGAGACTGACTCATCAATTCATAACCACTGTGGACTGGGAAAAAAAGGAAGCAAGAGCCAGTACCTGAAAAAGGAGGGGCTCCCATCTGTAGTAATAAGAGTGGCGGGGCTGCGTTCCCAGCACCCCGGCAGCCTGTCTAGCTTATGCCCCGAAATAACAACACACAAACTGTATTCATTTAATCACTGCGTGGCCCATTCTCTTCTAGGCTAATTCTCACATATTAATTTAGCCCATTTCTAATCATCTGTGTGTAGCACCCCAAGGTGCGCTTACCGGGGAGATTCTAGCCTATGTCCATCCTGGGTCGGAGCTTCATTCCGGGAGTGGGGCATGGCATCTCTCTCAGGCGTCTGCTCCTGAGAGCAGAGCTGTTGCGACTCTGAGCTCACTTCCTCTTCCTCCCAGCGTTCTGTTCTGTTTACTCCTCCCACCTATCCTCTAACCAATAAAATGGGCCAGGGCAGTTCCTTTATTAGCCAATGACCTTCCTCCATCATTTCCCCTTTTTCGGTTTAAACAAAAAAAAAAAGGCTTTAACATAGCAAAATTACATATAACAAAACAGTTATCAAGTAAAAGTTACAATAATCTTTATCATAACTAAGGAAAACTATAACTATAACTAACTATTCTTAACTCCATCAAAGACTCCAGAAAGATATATTACCTAAGTAAACAAGAACTAAGAAACTTCAAACTCTAGAAATGACAAAGACATCTCGCTGCCTGGACAGTCACCCAAAGTTCTTTTGTACCGTTGGGGCATCCATCTTCAGCCTTCAGGCCCATGGTATCCAGCAGACATTTCCATAAAGCAGGAAAATTCAAAGTCAGTTCAGTCACTATCTGTTGTGTCCTGCAGAATGTCTTGCAGACTCTTTCAAAATGAATCAGGAACCCCGAAAGATCATCTCACCTTAGGCAAGTTCAGTAGTCCCCTCTCTGCGGGTTCTCTGTGTCCAGTTTATGCAATAGTCCAGGCAAGAGCAGTTTCTTGCCCAAATGGCTATCAAACTCCATAAGGTGCCTCTTCGATGCCCATCTTCCTCTTGAAGTAGATTGGTGCTGCCAGGAGCAGAGTGTCTCATTGTCATGAAAAGTCCTCAGTTATTAAAACATTAAATGTCCTATTCTGTAATATTTGAAAGACATGAAGAATATCTATCTAAACTATATCTCTATATATCTAGAAAATCTAACTAACATGACTACAAGCTTTACTATTATCGATGATTATCCATTAACAACCTATATTTCTTAATTATACAGTATATATTTAAATAAACTACACAATCACGATACCTTAATCAAAATCAGAAACACTTATATATATATAACAAAATTGACCTTAAATCTCTATCAATAAAGCAAAATCTATACTAATGCAAATTATTCATACCTATATCATATCCCCCTTTAAATGTAAAAGAACGTTTATAAACCATATTTGGGAACATGGGCGCAGTTTTTTCTCTCCAAACTGCTTCCTGCTGAATGGGGGCGTCGTTAATTAGGTCTTTCATGGTATAACCTGTGTGCTAGTTTCATCTCAGTTGGCAGTTGAGCGAAGCAATTTTCTGAAGGTGTTCACACCAACCCTTCAGGAGGGCGTGGTCCATCATACCAAATCGGTATAGAAGAAATGAACAGCGTCTCATCCTCTGTGAAAACAAAATAAGAAACTCCTTTCCAAAGTATCATGTCCTTAGATCCAAATTTCAAAGCCAAGGCATCAAAACATCCATGTTGGATTAGCTCAGCAGCATCTACAAATAAATATCTTTTAGCAGCTGTTGGTCCTTCCTCAGCATTCAAACGATTCAAAGAGAGCATAATAGCATACAGTATCAAAATTCTCTGTATATTTTCCATCTTTGTGCAGCTTTGTTTTAACCTCTATTTTGTTTATTTTTACTTTTAACTCTTTGCTTTTTGAGACAGGTTCTCTGTATCTTTGACCTGAAGTAACTCTGTAGACCAGGCTGTCTTAGAACTCTCAGAGATCCGCCTGTCTCTGCCTCCCAGGCATTGGGATTAAAGGTGTTTGCTACTACACCTTGAACTCACAGAGATCTGTTTGCCTCTGCCTTCTAGGCACTGGGATTAAAGGCGTGTGCTACCACACACAACAACTCTCTTCCTTTTTTTGTTTTTTACTTTTAAGAACTTTAAATTTTAGTCTGCATATATTTTTAACACACTTTAAACCATTCAGAAATTTTCTCTGTCTTTGAATCTCTCTTTACTGTATATCTCTCTTTTTCTGACCACATGAATCTTTAATTTACCAAGCAAACTCAGTAGGACTAAAGGCGTGGCTTTGCCAGCTAGATCCAGTCCATTCCTTAGCTTTCCAGCCTCATGGCTGAGGTACTGGCTGTAGGCATGAACCGCCTGCGTAAAAGAGTCAGAGTTTGCCCTGGCAGGACAGCCCAGAAAGCTGGCATTTTTAAACGGCGCAGCTTTTTTCCTGCTATGGCTGAAAACTGAAAAGCATGTGTTCAGCTTTTCGTCAACACCGTTTAAGTGTTTCGTGGCAGAACCTCTTAATGAGCTGCAGGCTTTGCAGCTAAAGCTGAGTCAGGAAGCCTCTCTTAGATGCGGCGCTTGCTTGCCTCTAGCAAGCAGAGTAGAACCGAGAAATTGCTGCTACCAAGAAACCAGGCACAATGCTTTCATTTTGTTCTAGAATTACTTCCCAAGCTGTCTCAGGCTTTATGTGGAAGCAGTTGTCCCTTCGTGGTTGCCATATGTAATAATAAGGTTGCCATATGTAATAATAATAAACTCTTATTACTACACCCATCTTTCTGGCGGCTGTGCAGATTAGAGCATAGTCTCTTTGGGTTCTTTGTCATCTTCATTGCAGCACAGGGAAGAAAGATTTGGTAGAAGTTAGCATGTCAAGAAAAATATAGACGTTTTAAAAGGAAACAGGCCAAGAAGGTGGCTGGTTGAAAAGGACAAACATCTTGGAATCGTTCAGATTTCCCCAGCCTGGTTTGAAAACCCCTGGTCTGCCAAGTGTTCCAGTAGTAGGTTTCCACCAGAGGGTTTCATCCCCTGGCCTCTCCTCTCCTTGTTTCTAGATTTTCAAGTGCGACCCTGCAACCCAGTGCTACCCCTGGCCCTCTTCTTCTGCAGCCACAGGTCCTGGCAAAGTAGTGGGGTCCAGGTCCCTGGGAGGGAATGAGCTTAGTGAATGGGAAGAGCAAAAAAGCCTAGGGTGGGGGTGGGTGCTGGATGGAACTGGATACTTAAAGGGGCACCTGTGTTAGTGAGAGGAGGTGTGGTTTCCCAGATGCCATTATCTGATGCCATTTCCTTTGCAGGTCCCTAATGCCACCAAGCAGGATTCTGTTGTTGCTCTCTTAGAGTGGCAGAGGAAGCTGGAGGCCGCAGAGGCCCTGTTGGCCCTGAAAAACTCTTCTCAGGATCCTTGTGATTCTGCCTCTCTGCAACATCGTGGCAGCATGCCAGGTAGCTGTCTTCTTCAAGATGGAGCCTGAGGTAGGGGTTGTTGGGAAATTGGAAGGGTTGTGGTGAACTGGTTGTGGTAATATGTGGAAACCTGGATTTGGACCTTCTGGATCAGGCATTTCAGATGCTCAGTCCAAGGTGGGAGATGGAAATCAGGGGCTTCTCGGTGAATCCCCAGTTCTGAAGTGCTTTTGCTCAACAGCAAATGGCCTGACATGAAGTAAAAACAAAACCACCAGCACCACAGTGACAACAAAATGTCCCTGTAGACTGAGCCCCCGTCCAAGGTGGCCAAGTCTTATTGGAGTCCAAGGGCATGTCAAGGGAAGGAATAGAACTAGGTGTAATAACTCGCAGCCCATGGCAATATCTTCAGTCCACTGGAGACCGAGGAAGACTGGGAGGACATGCATGGAGGATAAGGGTCCGCAATGGAACGAGATCATGCTGACGTCTTCAAGGCATTTCCCTTGTAGCTTGGATGCTTTCCATTTGGAATGTTTCCCTACATGCTCACTGCTCCATGTGGTCACTGCTCAGAGGAAAATGGCATAGTTGGGAGGCTGGACGGGAAGGCTGAGCCCCAATGAGAAGCCTAAATAAAAACCCTGATGAAGTGTGTTAGTGGGAAGCCACTTTGGGTGGTGGGCATCAAAGAACAAAGGACCGTGAAGGAAGCTGGAGACCTAGCTTCTCACAGAGGTCTGGCAGAGTGGGTGATTCAGGCTGGGTCAGAAAATATGGGGGAGGGGTGTGAAGAGACAGTACATCTCTGAGAAGGGGAGAATCCTATCTGAAGACCTCAGGATTGACAAAAATAATGGTGACCCTGACTGAGAAACGCTAGAGCCAGGATCAGAGATATGGGGGGTGTTTGTTTCTGGTTTCAGTGACAAATCATAGATTCGGTGTGGCACCAAAGTGTGTGGGCTTACTGCGTGGAGACGTATGTAACCTGACTCTGACTTTTCCTTTTATTTTCAGGTAGTGATGGAGAGAGAGGACCACAGTCTCCTAGTTCCTGCCTGCCACCAAAGCCTGCCAGCTCTGTCTCACTTTCTGGACATCTGGAGTGCATGTCCTACTTGACCTGAGAGCCGGGAGTAGGAGGCCTCTCTAGAGCACTGCCTGTGTGGTATCCTGTTTCATGTCTAAAATGACTAACATTTGTAAATTGTTTATTTTTGAAACAAGTTCTCATGTAGCCAGCCTGGCCTCGGATTCAGTATATAGTTGACAATGACTTTGAACTCCCAATCCTTCTGCCTCCACCTCCCAAGTGCTGGGACTACAGGCATGTACCACCATGCCTGCCTTTTTAAAATTATTATTTTAAGTGTTAAAGAATTTTATAAACTTTCAGGCCTTTTTATGATATAGGGAGTCTACTTGACTGAAGATTGATGTTGAACTATATCCATTATTTCTTTGGAATAATGGTTTTTTATGATTCTTACAAAACCAGTATTTTGTTATCCAATGTGATCGATCAATGGGATTCTGAGTGGGTTTGCATCTCAGCGTTTTCATTTGTCCTGTGATTGTATATGCACTGGCACACGCCTGTTTGTAATCATCCATGTGGAATCCTGAAGATTTGTCACTGTGTCTAGGCATATGTGTGTGTGAAAAAATAATAATAAACATGATGTAGGCACTGAACAACACGAGCTGTTTTTAAATAGTGTCAGACAAATATCACAGAGGATTGTTTACCTTCACCAAGCCCCAAGTGAACAAATACTTTAGTTTTTTAAATTAATTATTGGGTGAAATTTCAAAACTTGATGCTGCAGACATCAGTCACATGGCCTTCCCAAAAATGGCCATAATAATTTGTTACCCAGAGTAATACATCAGGTAATTGATAGGAATTATAGGAACACTTTTTTTTAGAAGCCAAATAATCTTTTAATTTATAAAACATTTCCATTTTATTTTGTTTATTTTCTTCTTCTTCTCCTTCTTCTCCTCCTCCTCCTCCTCCTTATTATTATTATTATTATTTTTTTTAAAGATTTCTGTCTCCTCCCCGCCACCGCCTCCCATTTCCCTCCCCTTCCCCCAATCAACTCCCCCTCTTTCGTCAGCCTGAAGAGCAGTCAGGGTTCCCTGCCTTGTGGGGAGTCCAAGGACCTCCCACTTCCTTCCAGGTCTAGTAAGGTGAACATCCAAACAGACTAGGCTCCCACAAAGCCAGTACGTGCAGTAGGATCGAAACCCATTGCCATTGTTCTGGACTTCGCAGCAGTCCTCATTGTCCGCTATGTTCAGTGAGTCCGGTTTTATCCCAGGCTTTTTCAGACCCAGGCCAGCTGGCCTTGGTGAGTTCTTGATAGAACATGCCCCATTGTCTCATTGTGTGGGTGCACCCCTCGCGGTCCTGAGTTCCTTGCTCGTGCTCTCTCTCCTTCTGCTCTTGATTTGGACCTTGGGGTTTCAGTCCGGTGCTCCACTGTGGGTCTCTGTCTCTGTCTCCTTTCATCACCTGATGAAGGTTAATATCCAGAAGGATGAGTACATGTTTTTCTTTGGGTTCACCTTCTGATTTAGCTTCTCTAGGATCACTTATTATAGGCTCAATGTCCTTTATTTATGGCTAGAAACCAATTATGAGTGAGTACATCCCATGTTCCTCTTTTTGGGTCTGGCTTACCTTACTCAGGATAGTGTTTTCTATTTCCATCCATTTGCATGCAAAATTCAAAAAGTCATTGTTTTTTACTGCTGAGTAGTACTCTAATATGTATATATTCCACACTTTCTTCATCCATTCTTCCATTGAAGGGCATCTAGGTTGTTTCCAGGTTCTGGCTATTACAAACAATGCTGCTATGAACATAGTTGAGCATATACTTTTGTTGTATGATAGGGCCTCTCTTGTGTATATTCCCAAGAGTGGCATTGCTGGGTCCAGGGGTAGGTTGATCCCGAATTTCCTGAGAAACCGCCACACTGCTTTCCAAAGTGGTTGCACAAGTTTGCATTCCCACCAGCAATGGATGAGTGTACCCCTTTCTCCACAACCTCCCCAGCAAAGGCTATCATTGGTGTTTTTTATTTTAGCCAGTCTGACAGGTGTAAGATGGTATCTTAAAGTTGTCTTGATTTGCATTTCCCTGATCACTAAGGAAGTTGAGCATGACCTTAAGTGTCTTTTGGCCATTTGAAGTTCTTCTGTTGAGAATTCTCTGTTCAGCTCATTGCTCCATTTTCTAATTGGGTTGATTAGCATTTTACAGTCTAGTTTCTTGAGTTCTTTATATATTTTGGAGATCATACCTTTGTCAGTTGTGGGGTTGGTGAAGATCTTCTCCCAGTCAGTGGGTTGCCTTTTTGTCTTAGTGACAGTGTCCTTTGCTTTACAGAAGCTTCTAAGTCTCAGGAGGTCCCATTTATTCAGGATGCCCTTAATGTCTGTGCTGCTGGGGTTATACATAGGAAGTGGTCTCCTGTGCCCATGTGTTGTAGAGTACTTCCCACTTTCTAGGAACACTTTTAAAGCCTGAATATTCTGAATCTTCGATTGATGTTCCAAACACATGCACTGCAGGCCTTACCAGGCAGACAGCTAGCGAAGTGAACATAACTTGATCTGGACTTTTTATTGTACCTTCCTTCCTTCTTTGCCTTATTTAAAAAAAAATCAGGGTCTCAGTATGCAGTGCAGACTGGCCTTGAATTCACTGCATACCTGAGATTTGCCTATGAAGACCTTGTGGTGATTTTCCTGCCTCAGCCACTCAAGTGTTAATATTCTAGTACACTTCTCCTTGCCTGGCTTCCTGCTTCTGTTTCCAATGACACCTGTGTGATGATGATGCTATCCAATCACCACAATTCCTTTGTCTTCAGAGGCTCTGAAGAGTCAGGATTCTTATATTCTCTATCTGATGGCAGAGGAACAAACATGTAAAATCAATGAGGATTCAGAGAATTAATCTGGACTGAAGCCCATCTCATACCCCCTTTCTTCCCATGATCCCCCAGTTCATTATCCTCCAGTGACAGATGACTGTGTTCCCATGGTCCTGCAGTAGGGTTTGGTCCAAGCCTTGCCTTGGTTCCACAGTTGAGCTTGGGGAAGGGGAGGGTATGTTTTTGTTGAAGGATGTGGCACAAGGAGAGGGAAGACAACAGAAAAAATACAATACACATTTGAGGAAGGATAGAAACTCAGTATTTGGGCCCTTTCATTTTTTGTGAGGCCTATTGCCTTTCTTTCAGGGTTTTCAGACCTGACACTCTGCCCTCCAGTGTTTTATAATGAAAGGGTCTCTATCTGGCATATTTTAGTTCTCTTTGGATATCGGTGCAAATGTTCAGTGTTAAGCTTTTTGGTTTGTCTCCCTTTGTCATGTACTGTCACAGTTCAGAGTCTAAAAATCCTCACCTCTGCTATATTTTGACTCTCGTATGTTATATGACGTTATTGGTTAGGTCTGAACATACCCATCATTGCAGAGCATCTCTAGAGTGGGTCAATTTGAACAAGAAGTGTTAAAGTAAAAGAATATATGCTGTTATGCAAGCCAAGCATAGGCTTTCTAGGGGGAGGGGTGTTTAAGGGGAATTCTCTAGGTTGTCTCATTTGCTGATTACACAGTTCCAATATGTCAGTGAACTCCCAAGTTGGAGATACTTTTTTCACACTAGTACTTTAAGTTACTGCTTGAACATGGTCAGTAGTGAGATATTAACAATAATTAGAGATTAGAGAATTTGGATGCACATAGTATTTCTTCATTTACACTACAATGAATGTGGTGAGCTTATACAGTTTTTATTATAGCAATTGCCAGTATTTAGGAATGGGTCTCAAGTGCCTGAAAATTTAGCCGTTAACTGTTATGATCCAAGAGAGCCGCCCCAGCAGCCCACCTCTTTCCATCTTTTCCAAGAAGACTATTCAAAGTAGATCCAGTTAACATTGTATTGCCATAAAGGTGAAGGACAGATCTGAGCCTTTAAAAAGTAGTATTTTATTAACAAAAGGGTTTTGGAAATGTTTAGCAGAGTGCAACGTCAAAGTCATGTATGTTGAAATGCACATTAGTGTACAGAGCCAAATGTTGCTATGTGATTAGTTACAATCAAAATAGACGTCCTTATTTTAGACTGGTTTAGAACTACATCAGGATTGAAGGATAAAGAGCACAGTAACTCACCAAACCTCCCTACTGTCTTTGTGAGACGAGACGCTACTGTTCTTGTGTCACACGGTGATATTGCTATATTTTGTAGTATCTGTAAATCTGCTAATAATTCCTGCCTGTTCTCCAACTGACAAGATCAATTTCACATGGTTTCTAAATAGACGAAGACTTGAAAGTGTGTAGTTAGTGAAAGCGAGGAGCATAAAACAGACCGAGATATGTAGCAGCAAATTATGTGGATTAAAAGTACATCACACACAACAGTGCACAGTTCACAAAACATAAATGGTATCACAGACATGAAATCCCTGAGACACTTGCACAGCCCTGAGTGGGGAATGACAATGTGAATAAAAGGAGATCAATGAGTAGCTAGAGGTAGAACCCTTGCGGAGATGCAGAAACCACTGCAGCAAATCAAGTATTGGCTTCAGTTCAATTCTCAAGCCACAGGATCTAAGAAAAAAGGCAACAGTAAAATTCTGAATTGGACTTCTTCATCCAGAATCGGTAGATCAGGCAATTCAGATCATCTATCCCAGTGACGTAACCCATATAAGAAGACACTGACATTCCTTGAATTGCCAGACAGATGACGAGAACCCCAAGTCCAAGATCTTGCAGAGGCAAAGTCATATACCAATCTTATATTAGGTATTGGATGTTTTCCTAGTAGGAAACATAAAGCTGAATGTCTGGTAGAGCTTCTTGTGCTCTTTTGAGGAAACCAAACAAAGCAATGTTCCCAAGCCTGCCAAGAATGATGGCCTATGATGTACTGTACAGCCGGGAGCAGGGAGGGGCATGGCCCAGTCACTGGAGCAGCACTGGGCTCTCAGTGGATCTTAAAAATTTACCCTCTGAGACATTAAGATGATTGTGGGGAGGGAAGCTTTCCTAATCCTGCAATAGGCAGCAGCTGAGTAGCTCTTCTGGAGGACTGAAAAAGACAACAAAAACTTTAATACCCTTTACAAGTGAGTTCTAATTTCTTCTGCTACTACTCATTCAAGAACTTATGCATTTGACACTTTTGAAAAATCTATAAAATACATTCTCACTGCAAATTAAAAATACGATTTGTTAAAATTTTAACGTACCCAGGATTTAAAGAGTCTTGCAAACATAAAGATGTGTTGAGAAAAACTAGACTTAATAACAGCTGTGTTTTTCATTACCTAAAAGATATGCCTTTAGGTCAAAAGCATGAGATGCTCATGATGAATAGATGATGCACATAGTTCAAAGTATCCGCTAAATTGGTAAAAAGCAAGTCCATCAGTTCTTCAGGTCTGTTCTGTAGCTCATTTCCTTTCATACTCATGTCTAGGTGAATTACCTAGCTACACCAAGGTGGAGAGGCTAACCCAGAATTTCTTCAGCTTCCTTTTCCTCTCCATTATTGTCATCTCCAGACTCTTTGTGATTGTCCAGTCCTGGTCTGGAACCCTGATGTATAACCTGTCTCACTGATCTTTCTCATTGTCTTGAACCCTTTTTGTCAGCATCTTTCACTCACCAAAGGGCTGGAATCTCATGGTTGATACTCATAAGGTCAACACACACAGGAAATGTGAGCCTTTGTCTAAGGTGGGGATGACGTTGGGCCTGTTCTTTTGTTATTTTCTTCACTTGCTTATCCAGTAATTCTGCAGGTGATGGTGTGGAGTATCTCTATCATGCAGAGAACATTCAAGATGTTAAATGTCTGATGCACATGAATGCCTTAAAATGAACTTCCACAAAAGCCTTAAATACCTGATGTTTCCAAATCCTGTTCTTTCCGTGGTGTAAGACTTCATACTCTTTTCAG